GGAAGAAGGCATGTGACTATTGCTGTAACAGCCCAAAAAATAAATAAATAAAAAGAAACAAATAAAAATAATTATAAAAAAAATAGTTAAAATAATAATAATAAAAACAAATAAATAAATAAACAAAAAAAACAAGCTTTCCCACAAAAAAAACTGAAAAACAATAATCGTCAGATTTACTTGAGGAAAAAAAATGAGAATGACCTTTACTAAAAAAAAATGAGAATGGTCGTTACTCCATTGTCATTCATGGGAGATTTACGTGAAAATAGATCTGATGAACCAGGTATATATTAAATCTTCTTTTTTCTTTTATCCTATTCTTTTTTTAGAAATTACAATCAATTTTAGTTAGATCTTCATTGAATTATTAGTTTAGCTTTAAGTTAGAAACTAAATGTCAATCATTTACATGAATTCTAGCCAATCAAGTTAATATTAGATTAAATTTATATTAGTAACCAAATCAATAGATTAAAAATAGAATGATCAAGAAAATTTGTGAAGAGATCCACTGGAAATTTGGAATACAACAGATAAAAGAAAATTAAGGAATTAAAAACCACGAACTAAATATAGAGTAGTAAAGCCAGAATAACTTAAGAGTTGTATCTACTTTTTTTTATACCACAGTAACCATGAAAAGTAAGATTTTTAATAAAAATATAACGATAGACATATAACATTTCAAGACTTTTAACAATGGACCCATGTAAATTAGAGAAATAATTTTGTAGATTTCAAACTTGAAACTGATGTCATGGGCTCACATAGGTTGACTCGGATTTCAAAGGACGAAATCAAACTTTCATTAAAGATATATTCGTGACAACGACTTAAGCTAACCAGGTAAGTGACCTTACTATCGGCATGGTTATATTTGCTGTTGACATGTGCCCCATGATTTTGCACATGTCATATATATTGTTATGTGTGAATTGTCTGTGGATCGATATACTTCTTATTTGTTATGTATATGTTATAATATGTGAATTGTTTGATAATAATTACGGTACGATGTGTTCAATGATATGTTTGAGATAGGATACGAGAAGGATGCACAAAACGAAATGTAACAATAGGAGTAAAATACGTTCATGAAACGTTAAGGTTAGGTTACATACCGGAGTGATATGGATATGAGAGATTGATGGAAGAATACGATTAGGTTATGGGTAGAAAGGGATAGGTTGTGATAGATTGATAGAACGATAGCGTTAGGATACGTTCTTGTGATGATATGACTAAGGTATGTTCACGTAATGATATGTCTGTGATAGGTATAAGAACGTTAAGGCTACGATAAGTTAGAAAACGATATGACTACGGAGTGTTTACGTTATAACTCGATATGATGAAATGTTATGTTAAAAGCATAGAACGTTATGTTAGGTCTCTTAAATTGTGTATACAGCAATGAACGACATGAAATATAACCTCGTTAGAATTATGTATGATTTGAGAACTGAAGAATGAGAAAGAATACGATATGAATGATGAACGTTATCTGAAACGATATGAAAAATGATATGAAATGTACATAAGGTTAGCGGGGTTGTATTAAAGGATAATGAAAATGGAAAAGTTTTGGAACCTCATGCATTATGTGTGCTCCTGCATTTGGGGGATACCCCTATCCCGTCACAAGGGTACGGACGTGTACATCCAATGGCAAGACAACGATCGTTATGCTCTGCATAGCGCTGCCGTGACGGTTACTAGTTCTAGCGGGTGTCCGGCCTAAGGGGCTCCTAGAGTATGCCCACCGGATAAGGAAAGTGGCCCAACGGTGTGCGAACTAGCTAGTGAGCCCATACTCGCACGTATGGGCTGTGTGTAGAGTATATGGTACACGTCCAAAATTACCCGTTAGGATAACACCGTAGGAAAAACGAAATGAAAGATAGGTCTTATCATCTCATTGCATGTGATTGTTGCATTTAATCCCAATAGTGAGGTCACTTACTGAGTATTTCTTTAAATACTCAAGTCATGTGCTACTACATTTTTCACGTTAAGGCAAGACATTCCTGTACGGCTGACGATGACATCGCAACTCGAGACCATGGCACATGCATAGGGTAATGGTATTTATTTTCTTAGACTTAGGCTAGAATATAATGTTTTTAACTTAAACTCTTATTCATTTTATTTAGTCTTTTTGTTGTGTCGTTTTAAAAATGTTTTCGAAACACGTAAGTCCATGACTGTGTTTTAAGATAAAGGTTATGTTTTATGGAATTTAAATGAAGTCTTCCGCATTCAATGTTTATGGTACGTATATAGTAGCGACCTTAAATTAAGTAGAAAATTTCGGGTCGTTACAGTCGCCGGATCCGTCTAAATACTCCCTCCCACAATTAAGATAGATCGTTTCTTCTCTCCATTTTTTCAAAAGACTTGAAGATTATGTTGTAAGGAAGAGCTAGAGGATCAAGAACTCACTTGTTGTGGACCATAGTCAAAGTTATAAGCTTCCAAAATTCGTCATAAAACTTTGTCCTAGTTAGAAAAAAGCTCTTATTAGTTGAGACGTTCTAGAGACTTTAAGGCATCTCTTCCTGATATCTCTTCCTTATCTTCCCGTCAAGCTTAAGAAATAGATTTGGAAGGATGATTTTGTGTGGATGCCCTTAATTTCATGATTCTTCTTCTCCGCTACATACCCACTTTCTATAGATTTTGGAGATTATTGAGGAGCACGATAGAGAATTCCTCATCCTTGACTTCTTTATGAAATCTTCTCCTCTGAATGCCACAAAACTAAAGAATTTTTTAATTTGGGACGAAAGGGATGGTAGAGAAGGAATTTGGAGTTACCCAATTCCTTTGAATTTTACCCGTTTTTTAAAAACTCAAATCTCCTGCTCTTCCGAGCTTGGTAGTCTTTGTGGTCTTCACGAGACTTCTTCCTTGGGTACCCAACAATAGATTGTGATTTATTTGGAAGGATGACATTGCGCGTAGGCTCCAATTGCATTTTCAAGCTTTTCCTTCTTCCTATGACAACATTATTGAGAAAAGACGTTTGAGACCTTTTCAGCTCTTAAATCATTCATGAAACTTGTTGGGAGCTCATTTAGAACATGTAAATATTAGTTTGAAGGAAAATGATTAATGACTCTTGAATTTGGAAAAATCTGAGAGGAAGAAAACCATAATTTAAAAACTTCAAGTTTTAAAAATCCTCATCACTCATTTTTGTCCCAAAATATTGCTAAGAACTTATTAATGGTGCCTTGAAATTTCTTCTATATTAGAAATTAAAAATCTAAAAAATTACTCAAAGTTGGAAAATGACATTTTTGTTGTTTATGCTTGTCTTTTATGTACTAAACCTTATTCAAGGATCTCGAATCCTTTTGAAATATTGTTAAGAAATCATTTACTTAGACCTCTTGTCTTGACTTGGGTCTCTTAATCTTCTCGTTAGATTCCTTAAACCTTACCATGTGAAGCCTTAAACTTGCTTGCGTTTTTTTAACGACTCTTTCAATAATAATAATAAATAATAATAATAATAAATAATAATAATAATAATAATAATAATAATAATAATAATAATAATAATCTGAGCGCATAAAACCCCAAAATATGGTGTCCGCCATTAGCTTTACAAACCGTATAATGCCCTCCCCGTTGGTTCATCCCTTGTCCCTCCCACTCCAAAACCCATATACTGCCAAACCCAATGGCAGATCCGTAATTAGTCCAAAATATTCAGCCCCTTTGCAACGTCCCATATTCATTCACCAATATTTTAATATTTTAGACCGAATCCAATTATTTTGAATAATTCAATTTAATTTGAACCAATTATTAGACTCACAAAAATCGAACTAAATTAAATTAATTTTTAAATTTAATGGGTCTATTTTATATTAATATATATATATATAATTAAAATATGACTATTTAAAAATATTAATGTTATTTTTGGAAGCTCATATCTATTTTTTTAAGTTGGATATTAAAAGCTTTCATTTCCTACGGGCAACCACCAACAATTATATTTTATTTTTATATATATATTCAATATTTGTTTAAACAAAAATTAGGTATTAATCAAACTTTTAAGAATTAAAGAGTTTTTTTTTTTTTTTTTTTTTTTTT